TTCCATCTGTTGTCCAAACAAAAATGGCCACTTTATTAGGTACACCTTACTAGTACTGTGTTGGACCCCCTTTTGCCTTAATCCTTCATGGCATAGGTTCAACAAGGTACTGGAAATATTCCTCAGAGATTTTGGTCTATAGTGACATAAGAGCATCACACAGTTGCTGCAGATTTGTCTGCTGCACATCCATGATGCGAATCTCCCGTTCCATCACATCCCAAAGGTGCTCTATTGGATTGAGATCTGGAGACTATGACAATGAGTTACTGCCATGTGATTGGCTGATTAGAAATTTGCATTAACAAGCAGTTGGACAGATGTACCTAATAAAGTGGCCAGTAAGTATGTATGCTCAGTTTAACATTTGAATGAAAAGGCAAAAAGTATAAATAAATGTCTTTGTTATTTAATAAAAATAAAAATAATTATAATGATAATAATAATAATTATTATTATTATAAAAAAATAATAAATCAATATAAAAGAAAATAATAATTAAACATGCAATTGATATTGATGTTTTTATAATTTGATAAATTATATTATATATCATATAAATGTATATAATATTTTTTATTGTTATCATTATGCATGGTTTTCTGTAATTTTACAGTGTTATTATAGTAGTAATATATTTGGCTCTTAATTTAGCTGTTATAATATAAAATAACTTGTATATATAATAATAATAAAGTAATATAAAAAATAACAAATAATATAATATAAATATGTAAAGTTTTTTATATATAGTTTTTTCCTCCAAATTAATTCTGTTTTCATCTGTAAAATCACATTTCGCTAACACATTTTTTGTGAAATCGAAATTAAAAGCGCATCACAAAAGTTTCTCCTCGCATCTCGAACTCGTGATCATTTCTTTAATATCCCTGGACCACATTTAGTGTGTTGTGAAATGCATCATACAGTAGTGAAGCTCAGCTCTTCATTGTGTATCAGCAAACGGCAGACGTGCTTACAGTAAATACTGTGATCAGTTGAGCAAAGGCTGAACAAATACACACTTTCACTTTCAGAGGTAGAAATAATATAAAGAAAATAAATAATACCCCTTCTGGAGATATCACGAAAAATGATTTTTTGGGGTTACATTCAGTGTGGGGGCGTGCGAGAGATCTGCAGAGTGGATGGCAACATCAACAGCCTGAGGTATCAGAACATTTGTGCTGCCCATTACATTACAAACCACAGGAGAGGGCAAATTCTCCAGCAGGATAGCGCTCCTTCTCTACTTCAGCCTCCACATCAAAATTCCTGAGAAAAAAGGTCAAGGTGCTCCAGAATTGGCCAGCCCAGTCACCAGACATGAACATTATTGAGCATGTCTGGGGTAAGATCAAGGAGGCATTGAAGATGAATCCAAAGAATCTTGATGAACTCTGGGAGTCCTGCAGGAACGCTTTCTTTGGCATTCCAGATGACTTTATTAATCAGTGATTTGAGTCATTGCAGAAATGTATGGATGCAGTCCTCCAAGCTCATGATGGAGTCAGACACAATATTCATTCTGTTTCCACTGCAGCATGACTTTATATTCTATACTGGACATTATTTAAGTGACAACATTTGTCTAAGCAAAGTCAGACCTTACTGTCCTAATGAAATCATTAAAAATAAAGGCATGATCATATTTTATTTTAGTAAAATAAGCATAATCTTGAGGCCTTTGCCTTTCATATAAGCCACTTCTGAAACCAAATGATCAACTAGAAGTCAAATTATTATTTGTTGTTCCCAAAACTGACAAGACATTTTTCTGGTAGGGTATGTAACAGCTGCTTTGTTGCATATTACGTGTATATATATACTGCTGTTCTTGTCCATAACCATGTCACATCTCGTTTAGATTACTGCAACTCCTTCTTTTTATTCTCACTCATAAATCCCTCTGTAAGCTTCAGTTGATCCAGAACTTATGACTCATTTCCACTGACTGGTACAGTATGGTACGGGTCACTTTTATCAAGCTTGCATTTTTTCACTGCTAAAAGGTTACCAAGGGTACTCTTTTGGTGGGCGTGGTGTACGACAAAGTTTCAGATGACGTCATTTTTGCTCGTGAAGATGTCTACAGTAAAGTTGTACGGGTCGCTCACATATCATATGAGAACAAAACAGACGCTTTATACACATAAATACTTGTTTATAAATGTTTATTACTAACCTTTCTATGAACATGAGTTGATTATAACTGCAGATCAATGACAGTGTGAAATAACCGAACTGTAACGTCTGTGATTATATTAAATAAATAAATAAATGCAACATACATGAACACATACAGACCCTTACAGTCTCCGATATGTTACCAATTACAGAAGAACTACACACAGCAGACATTTAGTCCTTATTTAGGTTCAAAAACAAGACTAAATACAGCCCACAGTCAGAGAAAACCTCTCATCTGTGTCTGTAATCTTCAGCAGCACATGTAGCCTCTGTTAGAGAGTCATTCCATTATTCTGAGTTCATAATAGTTCAGAAGGTGATGATAATAGTTAAACATGGCAGTTTGTTTACGTTTGCTGAAAAAATAATGTGCTCTCTTTTTCCCGGCTTCTCCTTTGTTTTTTCACGCTTCTATCACATTTGTCAGGATTTCTGACAGCATGAGCACGTCAATAATCAAGCGCACGTTATTATCATCAGCTCAATAAGTTCGTTATTTCAGATATAGACGCGCAGCGGGTGCAAGCAATAAAGCGAAACCACTCGCGCTTCAGACTGGCTCGTAAAAAACTAGAGGGGCACAGGGTAAATCTGCTCTTCTTGGCTTTCTGGCTGTTCATCAAGACGACGACAAGGTTTGTTTAAGCCCGGGTCGACCATGGCTTATTATTATATGTTTATATATTTACGCTGTAATCTCTCGGTTGTGTAAACATGGCGGCTCTTTTGTTTTCATTCTGGCTTGTTGCGTGAGTGAATGACGTATCTCTGTAAACCAATAGCGTTCAGCTGCGCGTCTAGCTCCGCCTTTTGGTACCCTTTCTCGTGTTTGGTACCCTTTCGAAAGGGTGCCGAAAAAGTGGTACGGTTCGGTATGCCATTTGATCGTGGAAACAGCCATGAAAGCGTACCGTACCACTCAGTGGAAATGGGCCATTAGCTGCCCAAATCATCACCAGAACTCCTTCTTCTCATCACATCACCCCTGTCCTGCCGCAGCTTCACTGGTTACCCGTTAATTTTTAATAAAACTTTGATCTTAACATTCAAATCCATCCACAATCTTGCTCCATATTTGTCTACCCTCATTCACATTGCTGCTCCCTTTCGCAACCTGAGATGTTCTTCCTCCCTCCACTTGTCTGTTTTCTCTGCGCGTCTATCGTCCATGGGCAATAGAGTCTTCAGCCGCTCTGCTCCCCAGCTTTGAAATTCACTACCACCTGCCATCAGAAACATTGACTACCTTACATGATTCAAATCAAAACTCAAAACCCACCTATTTAAGTGATCTGCCAAAATGCTAACCGCTTAGCATATTATCTTTGGACTGAGGGGAGGGACTGTGATTCAAAGCCACACCCCCTGAAATCGCGAGTGCGCGCAACAGCCGACAGACAACCCACTAGTTCATGTCATTCGCCAGTTAGTTAGTGCCAGCGCCGTGCAGAAATTACATTTATTATACCTAGCCACACTTACATGCTATTTCAGAGAGAATATTCAGAGTAGCGGTAAACGGTATAGGAAGGCTGTCATTGTTCAAAAATGACCCAATGTAAATATAAAAGCAACTTCAGGTCAATAAAGCAGTTTAGGCGGAATAGCGCTATTTACTGGTGTTTTGTTGTTAAACTAAATATAAATCTACATTATAGATGCTGCCAAAGAACCTTATGAAACTGAAAATAATCACATCAATCTTTCACCGGGAGATTTCAGTGACTGAACAACACGGTAGTGCATACAAGTCATTCATAACAACACAATCTAACATAAAATAGTTTCAAAACAGAACATGACCTGTCTAACAGTAATACTTCAGCCATGGTGTCGTCCTTCCTCCTGTGTGCTAAAGTAACTCCAATACTGATTCAGGATTTTAAAAGTTTCTATTCTGCATTTGATTTCTCCCGGTCCGTCTCGTGACCGCGCGGCCGCTTTAAGGGCGAATTATACCCGCGCCTGGCTTTACAGTAATCGGCCCGAGCTAGGCTGTCCTTCGGCGCCTCCGGCTCCGACTCGGCATCTGCGAGCGGCCCGTAGCTCGCTCGCGCGCATGCGTTTGAAATGCAGATGGGCTCGCGCTATTGTCGGATCTGCGTGAACACATGCGCAGAAGTCGGAATCTACATTTGCTGACAGACAGTCTGACCTGCTTATCGGAATTAAGGGAGATGACGGTCCGACTCTATTTAATTGGGTGAACATTTTTTAGTTTTATGCTTTACCCAGAATATAAAAATACATATAAACACATTTAGATCATTTACTGTCATCATTACTATTGGACTGTGAAGAGACTTTCAACCAGCACAACAAAACATGTTTCTGAAGACAATCACCTACTGCACCTTTAATATCTAATTGTACTTGCACTATTGTTGTGCATATTTTTATGATTTCTTTGGTTGTTTTATTGCTCTTGTTTTATAGTACAGTGTCCTTGAGTTGCTAGAAAGGCGCCTTTAAATATAATGTATTATTTATTATATACATATTATTATATTTGCAATACGTATGATTAAAAGATTATCATGTAGTCATAATAATTATATTAATTTTAGTCATAATCTAGGCTAGGGAGTGTTATAAATGTCAATAGTAATGCACGTGACACAATTACTATAAATACAAACATTATTGAATACAGTAAATATGACCCATTTCTACAACTTCCTCACATGTATGGCTGTAAATATGTTCATCTGCATGTCAAACCAAGCAATGAATTGACATTGTTTTCTGTAGCAAACTCTGAAAAAGTGTTTTGTGCATGTGTTGATGTAAGTTTTGTGTTGTGTGTGCAGAGGCAGGAGACTGTGGCTTTACTGTCCGCCATACTGTACGAGTGCGTGACGCAAGAAAACCCAGAAATGCTGCCAACGTACATCTCCATTGAGCAGGTCGGATACAGTGAAGCACACTATTACACGTACATAATGTAGAAGATAAATACAAATACAAAATAGAGCATAAATAATGGGGGATATAGTGCATGAGTGGAAACTGATTCAGTGGTTTTAATAGGGGAAGCTGTAGCGGTCTGTGTGTGTTTATATTTAAAAAATGCCCATAAAAGGCCTTGTAAGTAACAATATTTCCTGTTTGAAGCAAAGCAAAATGTTTTGTCGTATGCACAGTATTTGGAACAAGTATCATTTGATGACATTATTAAAGCACTGTGTTAAGTCATTTTTAAAATTATTAAAAAGTTTTTTTTCAATGTTTTCTTCAAGCCAATTTGTTTTACACATTTGCAATATAAATATGGTTTATTTACTATCTATATATATATAGTTGAAGTCAGAATTATTAGCCCCCCTGAATTATTAGCTCCCTTGTTTATTTTTTTCCCAATTTCTGTTTAACTGAGAGAAGATTGTTTCAGCATATTTCTAAGCATAATAGTTTTAAAAACGTATTTCTAATAACTGATTTATTTTATCTTTGCCATGATGACAGTAAATAATATTTTACTTGATATTTTTCAAGACACTTTCATACAGCTTAAAGTGACATTTAAAGGCTTAACTAGGTTAATTAGGTTAACTAGGCAGGTTAGGGTAATTAGGCAAGTTATTCTATAACGATGGTTTGTTTTGTAGACTACTGAAAAAAAATAGTTAAAAGGGGCTAATAATTTTGACCCAAAAATAGTTTTTAAAAAATTCATAACTGCTTTTATTCTAGTCGAAATAAAACAAACAAGACTTTCTCCAGAAGAAAAAATATTATCAGACATACTGTGAAAATTTTCTTGCTCTGTTAAACATCATTTGGGAAATATTTAAAAGAAAAAAACAAAACAAAAGGGGGCTAATAATTCTGACTTATTCTGACTTATTATATATAAGTAAAAATAAACCATATTTAAGTAAAATAAAATAAAAATTCACACGCACACTGAAATCATTCATTCTTTTGTACATTTAATATTTGATAAGTACAGATCATAATAAATATGTTGTTTTATTTTAGTATAAATATATTTGTGACCCTGAAGTCTTATTTTGCCAGGCATATTTTGGCAAAAACCTAAAAAAAAAAGTATATTAATCATATTTATTCATCAACACGATTCTTCATATTTCATCAACGAAATCTTTAGAATATTAGCTAAAAATAATTTTAAAATTTTTTTAATGTTCTACCATAAATGTATCAAAAGAAAAATATTAATTTGCATCAAGCACTTCATACAGACAAAGATGATTTTTCTAAATATAAAAAAAAAATTTACCCACAGATTGCAGATTTTCAAATAGCTTTATCTTGTGCAGATATTGTGCATATAAAACTATATATTGATGGAAAGTTTCAATCTTTCAGGTGTATAAAACCCTTATGACCCTTATGATGTGTTTCAGGGTCACATTTGTTTTATTAAATGACAATCAAGCATTATTGCAGCCATATTTTGATATGGGAACTAAAAATGCTCAGTATAAGTTCACCCTAATACAGTAAATTTAGTTTAATGAACATTTTATTTCATTAAGTGCAATAAAATTTCTCCAATACTTAAGTAAAATGTACTTTTTCTGTGACCGTTTGTTTTTAAAGTGAAATGTAAAAAATATATAACTTTCAAAATGTTTTAAACAATTTTTCAAATAGCACTGTTTAACATTTTCCCACAGTATTTTTATTACACTATTATATTTCTATTCTGGAAAAAGTCTCCAGATGTGTTGGTTTATTTTTTGTTTGGCTGGAATAAGTAAGTAAAAGTAAGTAAAAGTATAAATAATAAATGTATAATGTATAATTTACATATATAAAAATATAAACATATGTAAATTGAATATGAATAAATAAATAAAAATAAATAAAATTTAATAAATAAAAATGAACAAATACATAAATATATGAAGTAAATATAAATAAATAAATAAATGAATAAATACAAATAAATAAACATAAGGATATAAAATATGTAAAATGAGTATAAATGAATATAAATAAATATTGTTAAATAAATATGAATGAATATAAATGAAGAAATATCTTAAATAAATATAAATAAATAAATGTGTAAATATAAATGAACAAATATATAAAATTAATTTATAAAATAAATAAATAAATATAATTATGTATAAATAAATATGAGTAAAATATGTAAATATAATCAATCAAATATATAGAAATAAATATAAATAAATAAATAAATGTAAATAAATAAATAGATTAATAAATAAATAAATAGAGATATTATTTTTTCTTTTAGGAAATCATATTTTTGATTATTTACAGAACAAACCATGGTTGTGCAGTGACCTAATTAACCTAGTTAAGTAATTAAATTGCAATAAGTTGAAATCTAGTTTATTGCAGAATTAGTCAAATATCATATTATGTTGTATTTTATGTTATGTGGTATGTTATATTATTAAATATTTTTACTATCATTATGGCATTAACAAAATACATTATTTTATATATTAGTTATTAAAATTACTGTGTTTAAAAATGTTTGAAATGATTTGTACAATTTCTCAGGAGGGCTAATGCTGTCAGCATGATCTTGGATGAACCTCAGGCAGCAGCAGTAGTTTAATGCATGATCAGTGAGTTGTGCGTGTGTGTGTGTGTTTGGTCAGGCGGTGCGGACTCTGGAGCGGGCCGATCTGAGCGAGACATTCAGCCTGTGGCAGCTGAAGCTGGTGCTGGAGTTGTGTGAGAGTCGATTGGCTCGAGCTCTGCTGCTCAGCTCGGAGTTTCTGCCTATCATGAAGAGCTCAGCAGATCGAGCTCTGGATCACTGGCTCTGTGGTGAGACACACACAGACACATTGTTTGCTATCCTTATAGGGACTTACCATAGACATCATGATTTTTATATGGTACCACAACTCTACCCCTAAACCCAAACCTCACAGAAAAGCAGATTGTTTCCTGTGAGGGGTGGGTTTAGGGGAAGACATGGGGTTGGGTACAGAATATACAGCCTGTACGGTATTTCTGTTCTGAATCATCAGTCGTTCATTTCCTTTTTCTGTTTAGAACATGACTGAGCCTTTTATTGTCATTTATAATGGATTTACAAAGCATCAGTAGTCATTTAAATCATAGTCAAGTCATAAAATAATTTACTTACTCATTCTGAATGATCTTCAAATTTCCCAACTACTCTCAAATAACTGCTTTGCATATAATGCAATACTTAATTTAGTAATGCAATATTGATCATTAGCAAAGTATGAAAATAAAAATAATTAAGCACATTATACCAGTGCTTAAAATCAAGATTATAGCAGTTGTAGTTGTATTTATAAACTGCTTACTAGTGTCTGTTAATGTAGAGCTTCTTCTTAAACCAGGGGTGTCCAAACTCAGGGCCTACTCACACTATGCCATCCGTACCGTGCCCAGGCCCGTTTCCTGAATCGTTTGAGAAGTGTGAGTGCGCTGAATCGGGCTCAAGCACGGTTCACTTGGCCGGCCCTGGCCTGGTTGGAAGAGGTGTGCCTGAGCGCGGTTCACTTGGGCGGTACGCTTGTAGTGTGAGTGCAAAATGCGCCAAAGGCCGAAACTAACAGCGAGACTTGACTTTTAAGGGACTGTTTCATATGGATTTATTAATCGACTTTTAAGGGACTGTTTCATATGGATTTATTAATCATTCTTACTGTTCAGTGAACGCAAACTGCCGTAGTTTATTAAAGACGCAAACCCCTCACTGCACGACAGCTGCACCTTCAGCAGACCTCCTCATTCCTGCAGCACAAGGAATTTATGATTGTTTATGAGCGCCAAAAGGGGCGGATCTGTTCGACGAAATATCTGAATGCGTGTCCCCGCATCTCTAAGCACTGTTTGGCGAAATATTTGACTGCATGTCACTGCATAACAAACAACTGAGACGATATAACTAGAGAAATCTCGACTGTGCTGATCGACAGCGCTGTAGATAGTGTGAGTACGGCTTCAGTCTTGGTGGGCCGGTGTCCTGCAAACTTTAGTTTCAATCCCAATCAGACACACCTGAGCTGGCTTATCAAGTTCTTACTAGGCTTTCTTGAAACATCCTTGCAGGTAATTTGAGGCAAGTTGGAGCTAAAATATGCAGGACACCGGCCCTCCAGGACCGAGTTTGGACACCCCAGGCGTAAACTGTTTGCAAAAGCTTATTAAATGTGTGTAGTTTTCATAAAATGTTGCATCTGCATTTTTACTATTTAAAAATACTTAACTCTGAGTCGTTTTCCTTATGGGGAGCAAAATTGACTGGTATTGCTATAACTGTGCAGATATTAGGTCCCCACAATGTATGCAATACAAGAACACACACACTTATATGTGGTTTATGAGGACTCTCTATTAGAGATACTTAGTATGATACTTAAGTGGGGATCTTTGCTTATCTGAGAGAATCAATTAAGCATGCTGCATATAATCCCTTAAACATGCCTCTTATAACCATTTAGGGCCTTATCATACACCCGGCGCAATGTGGTGCAAGGCGTGACGCAATAGTTGTTTGCTAGTTCCAGCTTAGCGCAAGAGTCGTTTTGACATGTTACGCCACGCTGTTTAAATGGCAAATGCATTTGCGCTCATATGTGCACCCATAAGTGTTCTGGTCTAAAAAAGGAGGTGTGTTGAGGCGCATTGCTGGTGCATTGCTATTTTGAGAAACTTTAATAGACTGTTCTATAGACCAGAACAAAGCCGGTCTATTGTCCAGCGCAGAGCGCGTTAGTTGTGCGCCTCGCTTACACATTGCTTATTACTAATAGGATGTCGAGCAATACGCAAATATCTTTTCATATGAAAAAGAATTAAAATATTAAGGACATACAGTTGAAGTCAGAATTTTTAGCCCCCTTCTAATTTTTTTCTTCTTTTTAAAATATTTTTCAAATGCTGGAAATTTTCACAGTATGTCTGATAATATTTTTTCTTCTGAAGAAAGTCTTATTTGTTTTATTTTGGCTAGAATAAAAGCAGTTTTTAATTTTTTAAACACCATTTTAGGGACAAAATTATTAGCCCCTTTAAACTATATTTTTTCTCGATAGTCTCTAGAACAAACCATCGTTATACAATAACTTGCCTATTTATCCTAACCTGCCTAGTTAACCTTATTAACCTAGTTAAGCCTTTAAATGTCACTTTAAGCTGTATAGAAGTGTCTTGAAAAATATCAGGTAAAACATTATTTACTGTCATCATGGCAAAGATAAAATAAATCAGCTATTAGAAATGAGTTATTAAAACTATTAAAGCTACTAAATCTGCTCTCAGTTAAATAGAAATTGGGGAAAAAATAAACAAGCGGTCTAATAATTCAGGGGGCTAATAATTCTGACTTCAACTGTATATAGGATATAATAAGGATATATATAGGATATAAATATAAAGAATTTAAATATTACAAAACATATTATTTTCTAGCCTACATAAATATAAAAACCATACTTTCATGCCTTCTTCATCTCGGGAGGCTTTTTCAGTTTATTCGTAACAATTTGCTTTTGTATAATGTTATTATTATTAGCAGTATTATTTATTATATCCATATTTATATTTGTGTTATTAAAAACAAGCTTAGATTTGTCCACCTGTCAGGTTTTAGACCATATGGGGCACAGCATGTGTTTGGATATAACTCAGTTTTTTGAACACAGTTCTAAACACGCCAATAAACTATAAACAGAGGTCGCACCAATAGACTGTAAGCAGAGGTCGCACCACATCTGTATGTATTTTAGCTGCTGTGTTGTGTTTTAGCTGCCTCTACACATCATTTGTAGTGCTGCTGATGTGTGCATATGCGTCTTCCTCTGCTTGTAAACTCGTCAACAAACACCTGCAATCGGTTCATGCGATCGGCAAGTACTGATCGAGTCATAAATTGTGATTATCGGCTGATCGATCTAAGCATCCCTACCCTCCATAGGTGTAATGTATTTTATACTCTAATAACTGCTCGATATATGACCTTATTCCACCCCTACCCTTAACCGAACCCTCACATAAAACCGATAGCAGACATTTGAGTGTCACTTTTAGTTATGATTTGCAAGTGTTTTGAATTATGAAGACATAAGGCATGTCCGCCAACCAGCTTAATAGAGTACAACTTGGCCGTACTGATGTAATTATACAATTTTGTGTCCTTAGAAACCACATAAACAAGTACCAGCAAACACACACACACACATCAGATATGGTTACTCAGATTTCTATTTCAGATATACATCAGCATGAGCTTCTCCTGTCAGCATTTAGACGAGTGTGTTTTTAGTGTTTGGGTCAACACCTTCAGTAAAGTGTGAAAGGCTGCACTCGAGTCTGTTTACTGCAGAGCTGCTCATTAAGGGCCTACTCACACTATGCCATCCGTACCGTGCCCAGGCCCGTTTCCCGGATCGTTTGAGAAGTGTGAGTGCGCTGAATTGGGCTCAGGCACGGTTCACTTGGCCGGCCCTGGCATGGTTGGAAGAGGTGTGCCTGAGCGCGGTTCACTTGGGCTTTGGCGCGGTACGCTTGTAGTGTGAGTGCAAAACGCGCCAAAGCCCGAAACTGAAAGCGAGACGTGACTTTTAAGGGGCTGTTTCATATGGATTTATTAATCATTACTGTTCAATGAACGCAAACTGCCGTAGTTTATTAAAGACGCAAACCCCTCACTGCACGACAGCTGCGCGCCTTCAGCAGACCTCCTCATTCCTGCAGCATGAGGGCTTTATGATTGTTTATGAGCGCCAAAAGTGGCGGATCTGTTCGGCGAAATATCTGACTGCGTGTCACCGCATCCCTAAGGACTGTTTGGCGAAATATTTGACTGCATGTCACTGCATAACAAACAACTGAAACGATATAACTAGAGAAATCTCCACCTTGCTGCTGATTGAGAGAGCGCTTCTCACTGAACAGCGCAGCAGCGATGACGTAAGCGTGCCGAGGCCCATTTGTGGTGTGAGCGTGAGCCGTCAGGGGAGACGGGAGGGGGGACAAGCGTGCTTTGGCTCGGTTCGAGGCAACTGTACCTAGTGTGAGTACGGCCTAAAACTAAGTAGAGATGGTAGGATTGATAAATAGTACATCGTTTTTTCCCCATTAAGCTTTAATCCTTCCATATGTGTTCTTTACACACAGACAATAGTAATGTGCTGAAGGAGTACCTAAGACGACAGACGATGAACGGCGACACTGATGTCAACATGCTGGCCTGCTTTCTGGTCTATCATTCAATCCCCAGCCTCAAAAACATGCTGGCGTCCGACCTGGAAGGTGCAATCACACTCCAACACATGCTATAACCACTGGTCTGTAGATGCTTATGTACAGTAGGTCCAATATAGTGATCTTAGCCGAGGAACAGTTCTCACTTAATAGTTCCTTGTGCAAACTGAAGTGACTTGATTAGTTCAGCGCAACAAAATTACGTATTTATATCCACCTTTACTTTTGAAGTGCATTTTAGGATATTGCAATAAAATAAAAACTCTAGATGGAAAATCCAATATGCGCATAATTTCTAAGTTGGCAATTAAGTCTTATCTATTTTATTTACTCTAATATTTTTATTTTTTTATGTAAATACATATAACCAGTGAGAACAAAATGGGGAAAAAAAGATGTGTATACTGTACATACACTCATCTGCCACTTTATTAGGTACACCTTACTAGTACGGGGATGGACTTCCTTTTGCCTTCAGAACTGCCTTAAACCTGCATGGTATAGATTCAACAAGGTACTGGAAATATTGGTCAGGGATTTTGGTCCATATTGACATGATAGCATCACGCAGTTGCTGCAGATTTGCACATCCATGATGTGAATCTCCCGTCTCACCACATCTTAAAAATGCTCTACTGGATTGAGATCTGTTGACTATGGAGGCCATTTGAGTACAGTGAACTCATTGTCATGTTCAAGAAACCAGTCTGAGATGATTCACGCTTAATGACATGGAGCGTTATCCTGCTGGACGTAGCCATCAGAAGATGGCCACTGTGTGGTCATAAAGGTAGGAACATCGTTATCTACAATACTCAGGTAGGCTGTTGCTTTGACACGATGCTCAAATGGTACTAATGTGCCCAAAGTGTGCCAAGAAAATATCCCCCGCACCATTACACCACCACCACCAGCCTGAACCGATGATACAAGGCAGGATGGCACCATGCTTTCATGTTGTTGAAGCCAAATTCTGACCCGACCATCTGAATGTGGCAGCAGAAATCAAGACTCATCAGAGCAGGCAACGTTTCTCAACTCTTCTATTGTCCAGTTTTGGTGAGTTTGTGTGAATTGTAGCCTCAGTTTCTTGTTCTTAGCTGACTGGAGTGGGACCCAGTGTGGTCTTCAGCTGCTGTAGCCCATCCGCCTCAAGGTTGGACGTGTTGTGTGTTCAGAGATGCTCTTAGGCAGACCTTAGTTGGTTATTTGAGTTCGTGTTGTATTTCTAAGGATGTAACGGTATTTTAAATACCATTACAAGAGTGTGTTATTCTCTAATATTTTCTGCAATATTTTAAGTTTAGCAATTTTTTTCAATATTACCATAGTCGCATGACTCGATAAAACTATAGGTCTTCTGAGAAAATTTGCTCAGGCGAATGAAGCGAACGGGAGGTAGCGGAAACTACAATTCCCTTCAGCCTAGGCGTGGCCATCATCCTTTGCGGTCTGTTGTCGCTACAGATCCAGTAATGACAAAATGGAGTGTGTTACTAGTAGCGGGGAAGAAAGAGAGCTGGAAATGATCGAAACTAAAGCGGGTTTTAAATCAGATGTGTGAAAGCATTTTGGTTTCTCTCTAAAAAGATACGAAAAAGGAGAAAAGGTGACAGACAAAGAAAAAAACAGTATGCAGGCACTGCCAGACTGTGGTGAAATATAAGTCGGGGAATACGACTAATAACAGTCATGGGGACTGCAGAACACAGCACACTGTTCAGATTGATGCAGACATTGACTTGTACCGCAAAGAGACCTCTATCTCACTCATTGTCCTCTCAAGTTGGTAAAAGACAATGCACAACGTTACCCACTGCTGTCAACCTGTGCCAAGTCATATCTCTCTGTCTCAGAAACCTCAGTCCCAAATGAGAGGGTTTTTTTCTGTTGCAGGGGACATGCCCAGAGATCCCAGCTTTTACCAGTTTTTAGTTATATGATAATTTTCCTTAAACCCATCTCTATCTAAGTGAGTGAGTGATTAAATGTTGAATGTGATGAGTTTTCAACAATACTAAATTGAAACTTTATTTTTTTAATATGGTTTAATAGTTTTTTGTTATAAAAATTGAAAAATTGAAGTTCCTGTTTCAAAGCTTGCAGATAGATGGCTAATTTGTATGTCATTGACACTTTTGGCTCTTTTTTGGAGTATTTTCATTGTTTTTGTTTTTCCTGTAAATGATTCAATAAATACCGTACCGTGCCATTCATACCGAGGTATTACCGTACCGTGAAATTCTGATACCGTTACATCCCTATGTATTTCTATCAGATGGAACCAGTCTGGCAATTCTCCTCTGACCTCTGGCGTCAACAAGGCATTTGCTCCCACAGATCTGCCGTTTACGGGATTTTTTTATCTTCAGGCCATTCTCTGTAAACCCTAGAGATGGTTGTGCATGGAAATCCCAGTAGATGAGCAGTTTCTGAAATACTCAGACCGGCTGGTCTGGCACCAATAATCATGCTACTACCTACGTTTAAAGTCACTTAAATCCCCTTCTTCCACATTCTGATGCTCGGTTTGAACAGCAGCAGATCGTCTTGACCATGTCTACTTAAATGCATTGAGTTGCTGCCATGTGATTGGCTGATTAGAAATTTGCAATAACTAGCAGTTAGACGGGTGTACCCAATAAAGTGGCTGGTAGGTGTATATACATACATACCCATATATAATATTTTTACATTTTTAAATATTGATGATGATGGTGTGCTGACATCCCCTCACAAAATTGTATGCAATAAATGCACTGTATAACTGCACATTACTTATTTAAAGTATATGTTCATATGCTTGCATTGCAAGTCTTGTACACATTGTGTTTATTGTTACGCATTACAAGAGTGTGTATTCTCTAATATTTTCTGCAATATTTTAAGTTTTATTCTCAACTTCAGGTGGAAACTTAGCCGTTGAAGCTCTAAAGAAAATATAAAGCAATCCTATGTCTTTAGATAATGTAAAATATTGTGCAAAACTCATATAACCTGCTTTTAAAGGGATAGTTCACCCCAAAATTTAAATTTACTCTCCCTTAATGGCTCTTCCCTCTGTTGAACACACACACAAATAAAGATATTCTAAAGAAACCTCTAACTAGTGACTCCCATAGCATTTGTTTTCTTTCTATGGAAGTCAGTGGTTACAGGTTTCTAACGTTCTTTAGAATAAATGTCAGTGTATTTCATTTTAGGGTGAACTATCCCTTTAAGGCAGTTTTACTTTAAATGAAATCGAATACACAAGCACATTTACATATTCATCGAAATGACATTCTGTTGTTGTGGGCTTTATATTGTTGCATGAGGATTTTGACCTTTTTACCTCTTCTGCTTCTGCAAAAGAAATAAAGTCAGGTGGTTTTTTTGGAGCAACTTGTGTATCATTTCTGATCTGTATGTTGGGAAATATTTCGCAGAAAGCTTTCTTGATCTTTTATCTCTTCAAAGACTTGTTGACATCAAAACTAAAACAAGCACTGTATTAGTAACCACACCAGCATACGCTGATTATGTTTTATACTCTGCAAAATTTTGCCGTTTTTTCCTTTAAACACTTTACTAATACTTTAAATAATTTACTTTGAAAGTAATTCAACCATATATTTCAATTTTGAGCTTTTAACAGCAAATATGTATGCTTTACAAACAACTGCACTCTGTTAGCATTCTATTCCTTACACTTAAACTATGAACGTAAAAGTTAGGAAAGGTTTAAGTGAACTACAAGTATTCTAATGACATTACTCTCATGAGGCAAAAAATGCAAATTACATGACTTGCACAAGCACTTTTCCACATGTGCACATTTGAGTGTACGATTAAACACTAGCCTCTAGAACACTTAAGACTAGAGCGCCTTATACCAACTTATAGCATCATCTGCTGTTAAAAACTAGCCTACTGTGCCATCGGCTGTTAACAACTAGCCTAGAGCGTCATCTGCTGTTTAAAAACTTGCCTAGAGCACCATTGTCTGTTAACAACTAGCCTAGAGGATCATCTGCTGTTTAAAAACTAGCCTAGAGTGCCATCTGCTGTTTAAAAACTAGCCTAGAGCGCAATCTGCTGTTTAAAAACTAGACTACAGCACCATCGGCTGTTAACAACTAGCCTAGAGCGTCATCTGCCGTTTAAAAACTTGCCTAGAGCGACATCGGCTGTTTACAACTAGTCTAGAGCGTCATCTGCTGTTTAAAAACTTGCCTAGAGCGCCATTGTCTGTTAACAACTAGCCTAGAGGATCATCTGCTGTTTAAAAACTTGACTAGAGCGCCATTGTCTGTTAAAAACTAGCGTAGAGAATCATCTGCTGTTTAAAAACTAGCCTAGAGCGCCATCTGCTGTTTAAAAACTAGCCTAGAGCGCAATCTGCTGTTTAAAAACTAGACTACAGCACCATCGGCTGTTAACAACTAGCCTAGAGCGTCATCTGCTTTTTAAAAACTTGCCTAGAGCGACATCGTCTGTTAACAACTAGCCTAGAGGATCATCTGCTGTTTAAAAACTAGCCTAGAGTGCCATCTGCTGTTTAAAAACTAGCCTAGAGCGCAATCTGCTGTTTAAAAACTAGACTACAGCACCATCGGCTGTTAACAACTAGCCTAGAGCGTCATCTGCCGTTTAAAAACTTGCCTAGAGCGACATCGGCTGTTTACAACTAGTCTAGAGCGTCATCTGCTGTTTAAAAACTTGCCTAGAGCGCCATTGTCTGTTAACAACTAGCCTAGAGGATCATCTGCTGTTTAAAAACTTGACTAGAGCGCCATTGTCTGTTAAAAACTAGCGTAGAGAATCATCTGCTGTTTAAAAACTAGCCTAGAGCGCCATCTGCTGTTTAAAAACTAGCCTAGAGCGCAATCTGCTGTTTAAAAACTAGACTACAGCACCATCGGCTGTTAACAACTAGCCTAGAGCGTCATCTGCTTTTTAAAAACTTGCCTAGAGCGACATCGTCTGTTAACAACTAGCCTAGAGCATCATCTGCTGTTTAAAAATTAGCCTAGAGCGCCATCTGCTGTTTAAAAACTAGCCTAGAGCGCCATCTGCTGTTTAAAAACTAGCCTAGAGCGTCATCTGCTTTTTAAAAACTAGCCTAAAGCATCATCTGCTGTTTAATAACTGGCCTAAAGCGCCATCTGCTGTTTAAAAACTAGCCTAGAGCGCCATCTGCTGTTTAAAAACTAGCCTAGAGCGTCATCTGCTTTTTAAAAACTAGCCTAAAGCATCATCTGCTGTTTAATAACTGGCCTAAAGCGCCATCTGCTGTTTAAAACTAGCCTAGAGCATCATCTGCTGTTTGAAACTAGCCTAAAGCGCCATCTGCTGTTAAAACTGGCCTAGAGCGTCTTCTGTTGTTAAAAACTAGCCTAGAGCGTCATCTGCTGTTTAAAAACTAGCCTAGAGCGCCATCTGCTGTTTAAAAACTAGCGTAGAGCGCATTCTGCTGTTTAAAAACTAGCCTAGAAGCCGTTTGCTGTTTAAAAACTAGCCTAGAGCGTTGTCTGCTGTTTAAAAACTAGCCTAAAGCGTCATCTGCCATTTAAAAACTAGCCTAGAGCGCCATCTGCTGTTAAAAAACTAGCCTAGAGCGTTGTCTGCTGTTTAAAAACTAGCCTAGAGCGTCACCTGCTGTTTAAAAACTCGCCTAGAGCATCATCTGCTGTTTAAAAACTAGCTTAGAGCGTCATATGCTGTTAAAAGCTAGCCTAGAGCGTCATCTGCCATTTAAAAAAATCTAGCCTAGAGCAGCATCTGCCATTTAAAAACAGCCTAGTGTTGTCTGCTGTTAAAACTAGCCTAGCGTGTACCATCTGTTGTTAAAATCTAGCCTCGAGCACTGTTTGCTGTTAAACACTAGCCAAGAGTGCCGTCTGCTGATTAAAAACTAGCCTAGAGGCCATTGGATGTTAAAAAAAAACTAGCTTAGAGCATTTAAAAACTAGCATAGAGCATTATCTGCTGTTAAAATAAACTAGCCTAGAGCACTATCTGCTATTAAAAACTAGCTTAGAGCACTTGCAAACAAGCCTAGAATGACATATGCTGGTAAAAAAAACTTGCCTAGAGCACATCTCTTTTGGTAAAACAAACCTAGATTGCCATCTGCTGTTAAAAACTAACCTATATTGCTATTAAAACTAGCTTAGAGCAACATCTGCTGTTTAAACTAGCCTAGAGTGATGTCCGCTATTAAAACTAGCCCAGAACAATGTCTGCTATTAAAAACAAGCCTAGAACGACGTCTGTTATTAAAACTAGCCTAGAGCGACATCTGCTGTTAAATTAGCGTAATCGTCTGCTGTTTAAACTAGCCTAGAGCGACGTCCGCTATTAAAACTAGCCTATAGCGACGTCTGCTGTTTAAACTAGCCTAGAGAGCTGTCTGCTATTAAAACTAACCTAGAGCAACGTCTGCTGTTTAAAGTAGCCCTAGTGCACCCTCTGTTGATAAAAATAGCCTAGATAGACGTCTGCTGTTAAAAACTAGCCTAGATAGACGTCTGCTGTTAAAAACCAGCCTAGAGCATCGTCTGCTGTTTAAAACTAACCTAGAGTGACGTCTGCTGTTTAAACTAGCCCTAAAGCTTTGTCTGCTATTACAACTAGCCTAGAGCAACGTCTGCGGTTTAAACTAGCCTAGAGTGATGTCCGCTATTAAAACTAGCCTAGAGCACCGTCTGCTATTAAAAACAAGCCTAGAGCGGCATCCGCTGTTAAAAACTAGCCTAGACGCCGTCTGCTGTTAAAAATTAGCCTAGAGTGCCATCTGTTGATAAAACTAGCCTAGATAGACGCCTGCTGTTAAAAACTAGCCTCGAGCATTGTCTGCTGTTAAAAACTAGCCTAGAGCGCCATCTGCTGTTAAAAAAACAGCCTAGATCCATCGATTCAAGGTACAATATTGATGAATTTAGATCAGTTTCTCGAACGCTGGTTATCGTCTCCATTGTTAACATGCAATAACATTATATTTCTGCTCATTGTGTTTAGGATGTTCCAGTTTTCCAGAGCTGCTCCTCAAGAGCAGTCAGTTGGGTGTTCCCATTCGAGCTCTTCTACGATTGAGTCCTTTACTCCTGCAAAATCACGACTCTGGCGTTTAACCGCACTCCTTCCGACCACTTCATCTCCTCGAGCAGGTACTGCAGGGTCATCACTGTCCTCAAAAACCATCAACTTACAGGAACTTGCTACAGCATCTTACATCAACTTTTTATTGCATGAAGTTGTTATGACATCGATGAGATCGGATGCTCACAGGTTTGCTCACCCCTATGTAAATAGCTTGTAACTATTTGTACCTACGATAATTCAGTCAATAAATATGACTTGAGGAAATGGTTTTGATAAAGTGTACCTTGTGTGGTTTGGGTTTGTCAGTTTTGAGGGGGAATTTTAGTGGCAGCCAAATTTAGGGGCTTTTTTTACACATGCAATATCTGTTAAATTGGATCAGGTTTAAATGCTGAAAGGTTTCATATTGTGTCACTTTGTGTAGCAATTCACTCTGACAAGCACCAGGAAATCAGCCATTCTCATCTTAAAAAGTGTACTGTATGGCTTCCAGGCGCTTCATTACTGCATTTGTGTGTGTTTGTGAGATCTGCACTTTATCATTCATCATATTTTGATCAAATCTTTAGGGGTTCGATTAAATCAGGCTAGTCAGTCACGATGAATAATTTTGTTGTGCAATATATTGTTACAGAAATTATTGTCACTGATTATGCAATGATTATGCAAAATCATAATAATGCTAAAAGGCAAAAACACTTTAAGTTGAGCAAAAATGTTCATTCTTAAAGGTACACTGCACTTTTTTTAGGGAAACTAGGCTTATTTTACAGCTCCTCAGGACAATTTTATCCTTTTTTGATTCATTCACCCGATCTTCAGCTCTGGTGGGAGCACTTTTAGCTTAGCTTAGCATAGATCATATAATCGGATTAGACCATTTGCATCTTGCTCAAAAATTAGCAAGGAGTTTTGATAATTTTCCTATTTAAAGCTTGACTTCTGTAGTTTCAACGTATACTAAACTGATGGAAAACGTAAAGTTGCTATTTTCTAGGTTGATATGTCTAGAAACTATACTCTGATTCTAGCGTAATCATTATCAAATTTTGTTGCTGTACTATGACTGCAGCAGGCACAATAATACTGCGTCCGCTGCTTTTTCTTCATTATTAGGTACAGTTGAAGTCAGAATTATTAGCAACCCTGCTTATTTTTTTTCTCAAATTACTGTTTAACGGAGAGAAGATATTTTCAACACATTTCTAAACATAACAGTTTTAATAACTCATTTCTAATAACTGATTTGTTTTATCTTCACCATGATGACAGTAAATAATATTTGACTAGATATTTTTAAGACACTTCTATACAGCTTAAAGTGACATTTAAAGGCTTAACTAGGTTAATTGGGTTAAGTAGGCAGGTTAGGGTAATCAGGCAAGTTATTGTATAATGATGGTTTGTTCTGTAGACAAATAAATATATAGCTTAAATGGGCAAATCTTTTTGACCTAAAAATGGTTTTAAAAAATGTAAAACTGCTGATATTCTAGCCAAAATAAAACAAACAAGATTTTCTCCAGAAGAAAAAAATATTATCAGACATACTGTGTGCTCCGGTTTCCCCTTACAAGTCCAAAGACATGCGCTATAGGCATACATGTAAACCCTCCCGTTTTTCCCCGGATTCTCCCATATTTTACAGTTCTATTTTGCTATCATCCTGTAAAGGTATTATCCCGTATTTCTCCCATATTTTCATTGTTTCTCTGAAGAGTGGCAAGAAACATTAAAGAGGCGTGCCTCCCTATAAGCAACCCATACCGCCACACCACCAAGGGCCGCCCTTTGCTCCTAAATGTGAGCCTGTTCTGTTGTTTCACTTTGTTTAGGCAAGAAAACACTTTGAAAATCATATAAAAACGGCGCGATTCCCCTTCCTTTTCACTACAGGTGCCGTCCCCCTCCTATGCAATCTTCAAAACAGTCGTATAGCGGTGCGTGACTGTCAGCTGACGCGCTCCATAGTGATAAATAGACGCTGTTTCCCAAACGGATTCTGCACACGCGATTTGAAGCGGAGCGAAAGTCTGGATTTTGGGTGCGTGTTTAAACAGGCATATACACATATTTAATATTAATATCTAAAGATGTCGATCTTGGTGTTTTTTTTTTTTTAAACAACTAATTTAGTCCTAAATGAGCATAAAAAGCAGTCGAATGCCTTCATTATATCGTTAGATGTGTGCATTTTTAAAGTGACACCTGTTATTTAATGTAATCAATCTAAAAAATCTAAATAAACGAGAGATTCATTTGTTGCTCTTTAATCATAATGTGTAAGTTATACAGTGGAGAAAAGGCTAATGAGATTTAATAGCTTGATTCTATGTCATTATAACAGCTATCTATCTTAATAAGCTGAACTGTTTGCTAATGTATTTGCCTCTAATGTATATATTTATTTTTTCTTTTGTAAATAATAATAATAATAAAACATATTACTGACCATTTACTGTTTACTTGCAATGAAACAGCTCCAAATGAGCATATTTAGTCATTTGGGGATTTATATAGGAGCTTATTATGGTGGGCATATCCCTTATTTTCACATCCCAATGTTGACAGGTTTGGCTATAGGTGAATTGAAAAAACTAAATTAATCGTAGTGTATGAGTGTGAATAAGAGTGCATGGGTGTTTCCCAGTGTTGGGTTGCAGCTGGAAGGGCATCCGCTGCGTAAAACATACATTATGCTGTCTAAGTTAGCAGTTCATTCTGCGGCGGCAACCACTGGTTAATAAAGAGACCAAGCCGAAAAGAAAATGAATGAATGTTATTTAGAGCATTTCTTATACAAATATACAAACAAAAATCCAAACTTTTCAGACATCCAAATTAATTTTTGATAACACAATGGAAAATGTTTAATTTTTAAAAGGCGTTTATAGAAGAAATAATGATGGAATAACTGATTTTCAATAACAATTTGTTATTCTGACTAACAAAAATATTACTTTAAAATTTGTTAAAAATGTTCGTAGGCCTAAATAAATTAAAATTTTAGCAATTGACTCAAATCTATATCCAATAAATGCACTTAATCCAGATATTTATATAGGTATCCTGGGGTTTTCAGGCTGACCTCTTTTGAAAAAGCCTGTAAACACACCTGCAGAACACCTGGGCATCATGCTGGCAGGATTTGCATGGGCATCCACCTTTGTATTTCCATCAGGAAATGTAAGAGTCTAGTTTGCATACGTCTGCTAGTCTTCCACACTGCTCTCCAGTATTTACAGTGGCTCAGCAAAACAAGCATTGCATGAGCATTCCTGTATAAATGAAAACCACCCCACACTTACCCAGCACACACCCGCTCACATTCCACTGTATTTGAATAGCCACGTCGCTCGCTAAAATAGATTGTGCTTTGAATACTGCTTTCAGTTACTGTGCAGCTATTTCACTCAACTAAACCACACTGAAGTGAAAGTTTAAAAACGTGAAGTGATACAAGCTTCACGTTTTTGCACCATATGTTTGAAGAGGTTTATGAATGATTCTGTGTTCTCCTAATAGAGTTCTTCACCTAAAAATGAAAGCTATTTTGCAATTTTTAGCTTTTTCCCCTAAATAAATGAGAAAAACACATAAAACCTTTACATATATGGTTTGATCCTTAAGAGAACACTCCATTTCTTTGTAAATAAGCTTGTTTTACAGCTCCTCTAGAGCTGAACTGTTGTATGTTATAATTTTTGGATTCATTCAGTTGATCTCCGGGTCTGGCAGAAGCACTTTTAGCTTAGCTTAGCATAGATCATTGAATTGGATTAGACCATTAGCATCTCACTAAGAAATGACCCAAGAGTTTTGATAATTTTCATATTTAAAGTTTGACTCTTCTATTGTTTCATCGTGTACAAAGACTGGCAGAAAAAAAAACAAAAGTTGCTATTTTATAGGCCCATATGGCGAGGATCTATACTCTAACTCTGGCATAATAATCAAGAGATTTTGCGTATCATGACTGCAGCAGACGCATTGATATTGTGTCTGCTGGCTTCTCTTTACTGTTAGTTATAGCACTAAATTAAAATGGGAAAAACACAAATTCATTCATATTTTTTATTTATTTATTGTATTTAAACATGAAAATACCTTGAGCTGTGTTATTGGTTGTAGGCTTACATATTTTACTACAGTACTATGCAGTCAAGATCTAAAAAGACCACAAAAAAGTGCCATCAAAGAAGCCTTTCATGCAGTTTCTCAACTCTTCTACAGTCACATTACTCTTTCAGTTTAAAACTTGCATTTTTAAATTATTTATTGAATTAAAATATTTACTTAAAGCCTCTGCATATATAGTTTAATTCTTAAAGGAACTCTCCATATTTTTATTTTGGATATTCAAACTATTGAGTTTTACCCTTTTTGCATCCATTGAGCCGATCTCATTGTCTGGCAGGAGCACTTTTAGCGTAGCTTAGCATAGATCATTGAATTGGATTAGACCATTAGCATCTCGCTTGAAAATAACCAAAGAGTTTTGATAATTTTCCTTCGATTCATTTTACCACCGTGGCATGAATGCGACTGACACAATGATAATGTGTCTGCTGATTTCTCTTCACTGTTATAATTTATTATATTTAAACATGAAAATACCTTGGGCTGAGTTATTGGTTGTAGGCTTACATATTTTACTACAGTATACAGTCAAGATCTAAAAAGACCACAAAAAAGTGCCATCAAAGAAACCTTTCAAGCAGTTTCTCAACTCTTCTGCAGTCACATTACTCTGAGTTTAGGACTTTCTTTATTAAACTAAACATGTTCCTCTTAAAACCTCTACATATATGGTTTCATTCCTGAACAAACACTGTTTTTTGAAAATAGGCTCGTTTTACAGCTCCTCAAGAGTTAAACTGCTGAGTTTTACTATTTTTGGATGCATTCAGCTGATCTTTGGATCTGCTGAGATTTTTTTAGCTGAGCTTAGCATAGATCATTGAATCTGATTAGACCATTAGCGTCTCGCTCATAAATGACCACAGAGTTTTAATGGTTTTCCCATTTAAAGCTTGATTGTTCTGTACGTTCATCATGTAAAAGGACTGACAGAAAAAATTAAAAGTTTCTCATTGCTAGGCCGATATGGCTAGGAAGTGTATTCTGATTTGGGCGTAATAATCAAGAGATTTTACCGCCATACCATGAATGCAGCTGACGCAATGATAATGTGTCTGCTGATTTCTCTTTACTATTAGTAATTAAATACTGGTAAAAAAAAAAAAGGTGGAAAACGTTATTTAATTAGATCTGGGGATT